TGTATACCATATTTTCGGCATCCACAATCAAGGAATTTATCTTCATTCTTCATATATTTAATGAATAAAGTTTTGTCTTTTTTGTTTCTTTTGTTTTATCAAGTCTTTTCATATGGAAGAAGTTTGTCAATTAAAGAAAATAGTGAAGATTCATACATTCATTTGTTTAATTGAATAAGCAAATGCAGATTCCATAAGTGTGTGTGATACTAAAACAAACTCTTAAAATTTTTCATTTACTAACATGATTAGTTTCTTGGTTTTTTTTAATATATATATTTAGTCCCTAATTTTTTAAAGTTTCAATTTCATCCTTGTTTTTTTAATCTAAGTCCTTATACATTTAATCTTTTTATTTTTTTTACTTTTACGTTTTTTTTTCTTTTGAATGAGTCCATATTTTTTAAATTTCCACTTTTATGAAGAAATGTTATCTTTTATTATTTGAATAGAAATAATTTAAAAATTACATTCAATATAGTATTTTAATTCTATTCTTCAAGTGTAAGCTAGTCTTGCGTGGGCAGGTGTTAACAATAATCAACGACCATCATTTGTCAAGAATTCTTTAATAGTGTACTAAACACAATAAAAAAGAATTCTTTAATATTAAAAATGGAAAAGAATCAGAAAAAGAAAGATATGTTGGAAACTTTCTTGTTGCTTATAATCAAGCTATCATTGTCACGAATTATTGTAAATTGACAGCAAAAGTAAGAAAATAAATGATGTTTTGCAAAGTTTGTAGAAGTAGCTTTATAATGTGATTTATTGTCAAAAAAAAAAAGAAAAGAAAAAAAAAGCTTCATAATGTGATTGGATATAGGTGGACAATTGACAAAGAATTTTGGAAGCTTTTGAGTCACTAGATTGAATCTTTTAAATCTAAATTTATGTAACTTGATTTGTACGTTTAAAATAATATAGATTTCATTAACTTTTCGTTTTTATATATAGTCTATGTTTGATTGGGTAGGTTTATAATTTGAAAATGTTATGTATATTATAAAAAAATAAATAAATAGATTGATTATATGAATTTATGAGATCAATTGATCCTTCAAAAAAAATTAAGATTTATAAATATGAATTTATGTAATTTATGAGATCAATAATAAAAACTCTGATCCTTCCGTAAATAAAAAGAAAACAAAATAAAAACTTATAATTTGAAATAAGTAAAACTAGTAATCAAATACAAATTATTGGAGGGTCAATCTTGACCATAGTTCAACTAGTTAAAGATATTTATTTTCGATTAATAATTCGTAAGTTTGAACCTTCAACCTCGTGTTATACTAAAAAACACAAAAACTTGACTCGCAGTTTTAATTGAGAGAATGCCTATTTATTTATTTAGTTTTATATATTTATTAGATCATATTAAATTATATTTAATACAAGGAGATTCTACTCATATTTTTTATTCAATAAAAATATACCATATAAAAGACAAGAAATAGGATCTCCTCTTTTGAGTGTCGACTGAATTTAACTATTTTTTTTTATTCAAAACAATTATATATTGCTTCCATATTTTTCACAAGGTACGAACCATTAATGGTGAGTGGAATGACTTTTGAAAAGAAGTATTTCCTTTATAAACACTAATTAAGTGCTTCTCCTTCGAATAACTTTCAATTTTATTTAATATTTTCAAAAACTTCAAAACACCACTTTTGATTTTATCTAAATCAAATACAATAAAACAATTTAAACATGCTTTTAATAGGTTAAAAAAAATTGTCATTCTACGATAATAGTACCTTTCTTTTCAAGTAGATTCAAATTTTCACTTCAACGATTGTTTTATTATACTTTAATTAAGAGACTAAAATATCTCAAACTCCTCCTAGGGATTTTTTTTTTCACCAAAAAAATTCATATATCAATTATCTTATATTGTAGACTTTCCTCACTTTTAGCTAGCAATGGGATTATATTGTTCACCATAAATAATGGAGCTTTCAAATGCTCATATTAAATCTCCAACAAACCATGAAGTAGTCTTCTCCATTAATCCCTCTTTCTATCTCTCTAGATAGCTATTTCATAGGTTGTTTACACTCCAATCGACTCTGCTTATTATTCTATTTTGAATTTCTCCATTCGAAACCCTAGACTCACAACTATTGGCTGTAGAATAAATTAGCACAACTCTAATATCATTTGTAGAAGAAATGAGCACAAAAGGAAAATGACAATCTTGGGAGAAAAGAAATTTTTATTAGGAAAGTATACAAATAGATACTCTTTGGGAGCAGGCCCTCTCAAACTCAAAACTTACTTGACTCACTTTCTTCCCTGGCTTCGTTAGCTTCACTTGATTCCATCTATGGTGACATATTTCCCATTTATAAGAGAAGGATCCTTGGAGTCCAATAAATAGGTTTTTCTAGTCTTTTTCGGATCTCACATATTTGAGATACTTCTAATTAATCTATCCTTATTCAAAGGAATTATCACTACAATTATTCTTCTTTTTTTTTTTGGCGGTTAGAGGGGGCAGCGAGGGGAGCTTCGGAATTGTGGTGGCGTGGAAGGGGATGTTGGTTCCGATTTCGACAACTGTAACGAGTTGCTCAACTAACAGAATTTTGGAGAAAGATGCAGTGAAGTATCCATTGGAGGCAACATGTAGCTCATAAATTATCTATTCCTTGGCATCTATAAGAAAAAAATACTTACTCCTTATCCGTATAGATAAAATATTACCTTAACCACCATTGAAAATTTGACTAACTCGTTGCTTTTTTTAAAAGAAATTATCTATTTTTACATTCCTCTCTCTCAGTTGTCGAATATTTAATAGTGGTAGAGACAATGTGTTCTCTGGGCAAGTAGCTCATTATTTTCTTTCTCCAAATGATTTATGCTTGAATTATTTATTTATTTACCACTTTTGAGATGAGAATATTATTTCTTATGAATTGATAATGAATGTGAAAAGACATCCACTAAATGGTTTTTTAAGGGGGAAAAAAGATAAAAAGATCTGATTTTATTTTTGAGGAGCTAAATTTACCTTTTTTTTTAGTTAAATTTTATTAAATTTCCCATTAAAGTTAGTTGGAAATTTTAATTTTTATAAGTGTTCGGTAGGTTTGGTATACTCGTTGGGGTTATGCTTTTAGCTAACTAAGAATGCTTTAAAAAAGTTATATGATATTTAGTTTGGATTTTTTTTTTTAAATAACGTTTTATTTTAAACTTATTTTTAAAATAATGCTGTTATAAATAAAATTTAAGGAAAAATGTCTTTTTCGAAACTTATTTAGAAAATAATGCCTGAAAATTAGGGTGGGACTTGACGACCATCCCAATTGGCCCCACATTTTTTATGGTTTTGTAATTTTCAAATTCACACTCCTCATAATCCCATCCTCAAATTCCTTTCTTTTTTTCTTGTTTTGTCGTTCTATTTAATTTCGTTGATGTCGTGGATGGTGGCGGCGTCTTCCTCTTGGTGCTACCGATGCAGTCGCTCCACAAACCAACAACCCTCAACAGTCACGGAGGAGGTTTCGAAGGAATGGAGGAGATTGCTCGCTAATTTTCAGGCATTATTTTCCAAATAAGTTTCGAAAACACATTTTTCCTTAAATTTTATTTATAACAGCATTATTTTTTAAAAATAAGTTTAAAAGTAAACATTATTTAAAAAAAATCCATATTTAGTTACCTAATGGCTAATAAAATTGGTTTGTTGAAAATTAGAAAAATATTTTAAATGGCATTAGTGTCTTTTTTAAAAATGCTTGTATAGAAAAAGTACTAAACTCAAAAAAATTGCATTGAAATAGCAATTTCAAATTCACTCTCAGTATTTATTTTTCACTAACTTGGGTAATTTCATGTTTTTTGTTTTTCTTACGTTGAAATATATTTAAGCAGTATATTCTGGTTAAGTTGTGACATTCTTGCATCTAGATTTTGAGGATGCGTGTCAATTGGAGTAATTTTTAGGTTACTTAATTTAATAATGAAATTAAAAAATAAGTTTAAGAGGAGAAAAATGAGGGAAGAGAGAGAAGAAAAAAGAAATAAAAAAGTGACACATAAACTACAAACAATATAAAATTATATATATTCTCATGTCATCTAAAAATTGACAACTTACCGGTACCATGTCAACATTCTAGTAGTCACACTTATCAGAGTTTGACTCCATAGATCTTTTAGAACTAATTTTGAAGGTTGGGGATCAAATTGTCATTTTTTGAAATTTAGAGACCAAATAAAAATTTATAATCAAATTCAAAGAAAAAATGTATTTTACCCCAAAGTTATTATTATTTTTTTTTCCTTTTAGTCATGCATGGTTGGTTCAAAAAGAGTTGGACCAAATTAAAATTTGAGGAGTTTTAATCCACATGCATGAACCTAGGACCCAAAATAATTATATGATCTTGTACATATATAAAATCACAATGATAGATAGGGAGTTGCAATATAAACAATGTAGTTCAAAATAATAACAAAATTAACTTAGAGCAAAAAAAATTTATCGAATATGACATAATTTTCTCCTTCCTCGTATCTTTTTACAGTATATTTACAAAAATGATAAAATTATTTACCATTCATTACAATTTAGATGACAAAACTAATCTTTTGATCATCATTTGGATAAAGGTGAATAATTAAAAATTCACCTAGGAGGTTTCTAAATCACGCACTTCACTAGGGGAGGACATTACCATCAATGCCTCTGTCTGGTCTTCTAAATGTAATTTTTTTTGTAATTACGATATAGCTACCATTTCTCTCCATTGAAATACTTTTTTCTAGGAATTTTTTTTACCCATGTTTCTCACATGCTTTTTAATGAAATGATATCTTTTCTTGAAAAAAATAAAGATAAAAAAAGAATAATTAAAAATTCAAACAACTGACATTTTTTTTTTCTTTTGTTGGTGCATATCTTCTCTATTCTTTCTTATTCTATACCACCATAAATAGTGGAGTTTTCAATCACAAAAAATTCCTATAACCCAGCCATGAAGTATTCTCCATTAATCATTCTTTCTCTTGCCTTTATCCTTCTATCTTCATCTTCATCATGGGCTGTAGCTTGTGCTGAAAAACATGAATCCTTTCTTCAATGTCTCTTCCATCATTCTTCAAATAGTTCCTCCATTTCCAAAGTCATTTACTCACCCATCAACTCCTCTTATTCTTCGGTTTTGAATTCCTCCGTTCAAAACTTCAGATTCTTGACTGCGAAGACCCCAAAACCACTCTTCATCATAACACCATCACATCTTTCCCACATTCAAATAGCTGTCATTTGTTCCAAAACTCATGGCTTTCAAATCCGAACTCGAAGCGATGGCCATGACACTGAAGGTCTTTCTTACGTTGCCTATGTTCCATTCATAATCATTGACCTAATAAATCTCAGGTCGGTCACCATTAATGTTGAACATAGTACTGCATGGGTTCAATCTGGGGCAACTCTTGGCGAGCTCTATTATAGCATCGCTCAGAAAAGTCAAACCCTTGCATTTCCAGCGGGTGTATGTCCAACAGTCGGCGTTGGTGGGCACTCCAGTGGCGGTGGATATGGGTTGATGCTGAGGAAATATGGTTTTGCAGCTGATAATGTCATCGACGCTTACTTGATTGATGCTAATGGGAAGTTTCACGATAGAGAGTCGATGGGAGAGGATTTGTTTTGGGCCATTAGAGGGGGCGGCGGAGGGAGCTTAGGGATCGTGGTGGCGTGGAAGGTGAAGCTTGTTCCGGTTCCGGCCACTGTTACGATTTGCTTGACTAACAGAAATTTGGATGAAGATTTAGTCAAGCTAATCCATCGGTGGCAATTTGTGGCTCCCAAATTGGATGAAAATTTATATGTTGGCATCATGTTGAATGGTATGTAAGATTTATGCTTCAGTTATTTATTATTTGTTTATTCGTTTTCTATGAGAAATCTACGTTTCTTCCATAAATTCTATGTCCATTCTTTTTAGGACATGAGTCATCTATTTTGACTCCATCATCCCAACATTTAGGTGTTGTTTTTATCCTTTAATTCATTTTTTTTATTTTGAAACATATTTGTTATTTTTGTGATTTGAGTTTAGATATTGTAATGACTGGATTTTCTGAGGGTTTATTTACTTGACCTCAAGTGATTTATAAGTTGATTTGTATAAGGTATTAATTCATCACCATACTTCTACCAAATAAAAACTTGCAAATCAAAAATAATGAAATCTAGTTTTGATTGTGATCTTCTAAGTCACCCCATCAAAATAAAGAAATGAGAAATAAGTTCTTTTTTCCCTAATCCCAAACATATCATTCTAAATCACTACCATTCATATTTGAATGATTGAAACTCAATTCTTGATGATAGGTGGGAATGCTTCAACTCAAGGAGGAGTCAACCCAAAATCTACATTCTTCTCATTGTTTCTTGGAAAGATAGATGAGCTTATGGCAATCTTGAAGAGAGATTTTCCAGAGATGAACTTGGCAAATAACGACTGCGTAGAAACGAGCTGGATTGAATCAACAATCATAGCCGCTACCAGGAATAAAACTGTCGAGTCCTTGGAATATTTGCTCACTAAAATACCTCTTGCCACAGGAAGCATAAAAACCAAATCTGACTACGTCAAGGAACCCATTCCCAAGGTTGCAATCGAGGGCATATGGGAAAGATTGAAAGCTCAAGATATAGAAGCGTCACAGCTTGTAATTGTTCCCTATGGAGGGAGAATGAGTCAGATTTTAGATTCGGAAATTCCTTATTCGCATAGAGCTGGATATTTGTACAAGATCGGGTATGTTGTTGGGTGGAAAGAACAGAGCGTAGATGTTGGAAAAAGGCACCTGAGTTGGATACGGGAGCTTTACGATTACATGACTCCTTTCGTTTCGAAATCACCGAGGGCTGCATATGTCAATTACAGAGACCTTGACATTGGAACAAATAACAAGTATGGAAAAACGAGCTACAAGCGAGCCAGCATTTGGGGATCAAAGTATTTTGGGAAAAATTTTAACAGGTTGGTGCACGTTAAATCTAAGGTTGATCCGTCTAATTTTTTTAGACATGAGCAAAGCATACCTCCTCTGTGACTTGGATGAGAAACGCAAAGAATCCCCCACATTTTGAAACGTGTAGAAACTAAAGGGGTGGCATAAACGTTTGATTTCTCGTTGTGAGAATTCTATTTTATTTTGCATTATAAAAGTATGTCTAAAGTTTTAATATTGAATAACAAGAATGTGACGTGAGTTGAAAGTTTGAAATTGAGTATTATATAGACAATATGATCTTGAAAATAATGGTACAAGAAAAAGTGATAGAACTTTAGGCTGATATGTTCAAGTTTACATACCTATAAAATATGAAAACTTGGAATTAGATGGATATGTATTTGATTACATATGAGTGTTATGTGTTATCTTGGCTAGAATTCTACGAGAGGGTATTTTTGGGAGAAATTTAATACCTATCCACGACAAGGATGTTGGATGCTTCGAGAACTTGATAAAAATCAATAATAATTGACATATATCTCCAACTAAGTAGCTGTGAGTTCGATCTCCCACCACCCCATGTTGTATTAAAAAAAAGTTAAGAAAATTTCTTATTTCCTACCTTTTATTTAGTTGGATAATTTTAATTTTAACAAATTTAAATTTAAATTTAAATAAGAGGTAAAAATAAGATGATAAACCCAACTATCACTTTCTTATAAAAGTAAAAATACACTAGTTGAATTTTAGTACATATATAATAGTTTAAAATTTATAACGATTTAGTTCTTAATTCAAAAAATTTCATTAACGTGTAATAAAGTTTCATGCGTATATGGATGGATAACCAAATGCATAAATCAATTACATACTAAAGAATTCATGATACTTTACATTGAGATAACTTTTCATAATAAAAACCAAATCGTTACAATTACAAATTTTAAACTACATGGACTTAAATTTTATATACTATAGTATAAGGATTAAATATATATAAAAGTTGGTAAGTTAAAATGCGAGGGTGACCTGGGTTCTTTTTCCAACGACGACGCCAAATTTGTAGCAGAAATTGTTTACTGCAAGTGTACGAATCCAAGTTTTAATATAGATAGTAAGTGATCAATACTGAATTGATTTTTCTAGCTCAATTGAGTACCACACAGATACAATAGATCAATTTTATTTAGAAAATCAAATTCAAATGAGATAATATAATCAAAGCAAATTATGCAATAATAAAGAGAAAATAAATGGGACTAAAGGTTCAATTAAATTGATTTCACTCAGGAATCTATTACTAAGAGTGAACCAACTCAACGACATCTCCCAAGTCTAAGTTAATTCTCCTTACTCACTAATTACTTAGAATGAACCAACTCAACGGCATCTCATAAGTGTAAGTTAATTCTCCTTACTCATTAAGAAACAAATGTCTATATCTAGTATCAATAACAAGTTAGGACTTTAATAAATAAGTCTTTTAATGGCTCCTAAAATATTTCGAAAGACTTCTAAATCTTCCGACCTTGAAACTATTATATTTCTAACTCCAAACTACCTGTCCCAAGTATAAGATTTAATTCTAACATTAATAAATTGATCTATGACCAATAGATTAAAAGCATAAAGCATAAAGAAAAATAAATAGAACAATCAAACTCGGAATCAAGCAATCAATCCATAAAGTTCAATGACTACATAGATCCCTAAGACAAATAAATTTAGCTACTCATATTCAATGTAAAATACCAAGTCTCAGAGAAAGTTTCATAACCAAACTACAAAAATCAAGGAAAAGGAGAAAACTAATGTTCTTGTGTCACTTTAATTGTCTCTGAGTCAATCTCCACGATGTCGAGCCTTGAAAATTCATTTTCTAATTAAGCTCCTTGATGTTCATTTTCTCTCTTCTTTTGTGAGCTTTGATACTATATTAATATTCATGGGATTTCATCTCAAAATCAATTGATAATGACATGAGTAGCCAATGTCTATTATAAACCTTTGTTAGGTCATTCTTCTTTTCAATGGGGGATCTTTAGCATGCCTCCTCAAAATTGTGGCTCTAATCTTGTCGAATCCCATTTTTAAACTGGATGTTCGTTTGAGCATTTTTTCTCTGATACCATATCAATATTCATGGGTTTCATCTTATAGTCAATCGGCAATAAAATAAAACATCATCAATATTAACATGGTATAAGAGAAATGCCTACTGCACTGATGTTGTGCTAAAAAAAATCACTACAAGAGGTCATGAGTTCGAATCTTCCCACCCTTCATGTTGTGTCAAAATAATAATAATAATAATAAAAAACAAATATCAACCGGAGCAAGGTGATTCGACAAGTTAAAGACATTATAGTCTTTATTTTTTTAAATCACTACTTGTATTAAAGTTATTAAAGTTATCCAACAACAATCAAGGAGACTTCCTTTCTCCGTGTCAGAGTTAAAAAAATAAAAAGTTTATTTACTTTATTATTATTATTATTATTATTATTTGAGAATTTATATGGCATATAAATTAAATATGCATTTTAAAAAAATATTACTAACTTTTTATTCTTTTCAAATATATACTATGGGTTTAACTTTTCTTCACTTCTTGACGGGTTTTACATTATATCCTTGTTTGACTTTAATTTACTTTAACTTTTTACTATATTTTAAAATATATTTTTATTTTATGCTATTTATGTAAATCTTTTCGTTATATGAAGATTTTAGCTCAATTCCGACATTTTATTTTAGAGTTTGAACACTTTTGAGTTTTGTACCTACTAAAATTTATTATTAGGCTCGGATAATTTACTAGTTTAGTTTGGACACTTTAGGGCTAATTAACATTGACAAATTGAGAAATTTGATTGCTTGGAGGTTTTTATTATTGTTATTATTTATTGCTTTTTTTTTCCAATAATATATTGGTTACAATTAGGGGGTGGATATTTGAAAATTCAATCGGCACAAAGTCTTTAATGGCCTAACCTACCATTGGAACTTAGTGTCAAAACTTTGAAATTTGTCTAGAAATATTAAAATTTGATCTCTTTATTTTCTCTCCCAAAGACTTTTTTTTTTACAATAAGTTCTTTGGCATATAGATTTGATATATCCCTTTGTTTAATTGAACAAGCAAATGCATGCAGAAGAAAGGGTCAAATTAACTTTTTCACATTATAAAAATTTACATATTTTATGTCATTTGATAATTAATTTGATTTTTCTGAAAATTCAACTTCTAAACACTACTTTCACCTACTTATGTATTGTCTCGTGCATGCACCTACTTTTAAAAATATTTTCAAAATCTAAACTAAAATTCAAAAACTAAGAAAAGTAATTTTCAATTTTTTTTTTAAATTTAGCTAAGAACTCTAAAAAAAGTTTAAAACATATCCAATTAATTGTGAACAAATAAATATAATTTTTTTAAATAAAGGATTATGGGGTCTTAATAATATCTTTTATATAATATTTTGAAAAATATTACACTTTTTCCTATGAGATTTGGTCAATTTATGTACTGGGACTTATTGGTTATTGAAATTATTTTACTAAAAAAAAAAGAATAATAATAATAAAAATATTGACCACCAATTTACCAACCCTGGCATAAAAAAATATAGATGGAAAAATAATTCTGTTGTCGAACAATCAATTCCATTTAAAAAAGACTAAAATCCTTTTGTCATTATCATAACTAAAATAATGACATAGCGTCAATTGAAATAAATTTCATAAATAAAGACTAACTTATAAGTTCAAAGAGGAAGGAGACTTCAATCCCCCCTTTGCAAATTTGTTGCAACAAAAAAAGAGGCTTCAAAGAAAAGATGAAATAGTTGTTTGTTTGTTTATTCTAACATGACGTTATGTACGTATATAAAGTTGTTAGAAATCGAATATATAAATTAAATTTACCCAATCCATTGGCTTTTAGATTAAGTGGTGGTTTATTCATCCTTAATATGCTATCAATAAAAAGGAATGAGTTTAGCTAACTGAATCCAATAATCCATGAATCCATAATCAAAATAAAGTTCATTCTCTTTTGTCAAGTAGATAAAAGATAGGTATACGAACCACTTTTGCTTTGCCTTAGACTCGATTGGAACAAAACTAAGAAAGAAGAAGGCGGAATGGAGAAAGGAAATGGATAATGGCAGTCTTACTTGGCACGAAAGCTGCTGGTTTGGGGGTAGAGTACGTTACTAAAGGTCCTTGGACTTCTAGCCAGTTTTTCTTTTGGGCATGCAGCTGTTCACCGTTGGATCTCGCCAATACAGACCCCATAATTTTCGTTACCGACATATTATGATTTTCACTTGTTAGATCTCGCCCTCGCATTATAGCAATTTAGTTCAAAATAATAACAAATTTAACTTTAGCTACAAAACTTTATAAATATGACAAAATTTTTCCTTACATATTATTTGTTGTGGTATATTTACAAATATGATAATATTATTTAGGTAATAAAACTAATCCTTTGATCATTTGGTCAAAGGTGGATAATTAAAAATCAAGCTATGATGCAAGTTGTACTGACCTTTTGTTCTTTTATTCTTTCTTTCTTTTTTTCTTTTCATATATTCTTTATTATTTCTAATTCCAAACCACCATAAATAGTGGAGTTTTCAATCACAAAAAATCCAATAAAGCAGCCATGAAGTATTCTCCATTAACCATTCTTTCTCTTGCCTTTATCCTTCTATCTTCGTCTTCATCATGGGCTGCAGCTTCTGCTGAAAAACATGAAGCCTTTCTTCAATGTCTCTCCCATCACTCTGCAGATAGTTCCTCAATTTCCAAAGTCATTTACACTCCCATCAATCCGTCTTATTCTTCTGTTTTGAATTTCTCCGTTCGAAACCTTAGATTCTCAAGTGCTGAGACCCCAAAGCCACTCCTCATCATAACACCATCATATGTTTCCCACGTTCAAGCAGCCGTCATTTGCTCCAAAACCCATGGCCTTCAAATTCGAATTCGAAGCGGTGGCCATGACATTGAAGGTCTTTCTTACGTCGCTCACCTCCCATTCATAATCATTGACCTAATAAATCTCAAGTCTATCACCGTCAACATTGAGAACAGTACTGCGTGGATTCAGTCTGGAGCAACTCTTGGCGAACTCTATTATAACATTGCTCAAAAGAGTCGAACCCTCGCATTTCCAGCAGGTGTCTGTCCGACGGTCGGTGTTGGTGGGCACTTCAGTGGAGGTGGATATGGGTTGATGCTGAGGAAATATGGTCTTGCAGCCGATAATGTGATCGACGCTTACTTGATTGATGCTAATGGGAAGTTTTACGATAGAGAGTCGATGGGGGAGGATTTGTTTTGGGCTATTAGAGGGGGTGGTGGGGGGAGCTTCGGAATTGTGGTGGCGTGGAAGGTGAAGCTTGTTCCGGTTCCGGCAATTGTGACGACTTGCTCAAGTGACAGAAATTTGGATGAAGATACAATCAATCTAATCCATCGGTGGCAATCTGTGGCTTACAAATTGGATGAAAATTTATACTTTGGCATCATTTTGGCTGGTATGGAAGATTTATGCTTGAGTTATTTATTATTTGTTTATTCCCTTTATTTGAGAAACATAAATTCTAAAATAAAAAAGGAAGAAAAATTAATGAAAGAAAAAAAACCAACTTGAGTAAGGCATATATTTCTATATCTTGCACTAAAAAACAAATGAAAAAAAAAAGATTTGTTTTTTACCGACGAACTAGGGGATGAAAAATAGACTTAAAATTTTAGTTTTATCAAATTTGTTTTTATTTAGAAATATATTTGAGTATTTTTGTGATTTGAGTTTAGATATTTTTTTTATGATTGGATTTTCAGAGGGTTTATTGATTGGGATCCTCCAAGTCACCCCATCAAATAAAGGAATAAGAAATAAGTTTTTTTCCCTAAAAAATCTCATCCCAAATACATCATAATAAATCACTACCGTTCATATTTGAATGATTTAAACTCAATTATTCTTGATGATAGGTGGGAATGCTTCAACTGAAGGAGGAGTCAAAAAACCAAACCCAACAGCTACATTTTTCTCATTGTTTCTTGGAAAGTCAGATGAGCTTATGGCAATCTTGAACACAAATTTTCCAGAACTGAATTTGGCAAAGAAAGATTGCGTAGAAACGAGCTGGATTGAATCAACTCTTGTAGCGGCCACTAGGAATCAAACTATCGAGTCCTTGGAATCTTTGCTCAATAGAACACCTCTCACCATCGAAAACACAAAATTGAAATCTGACTATGTCAAGGAACCCATTCCCAAGGCTACAATTGAGGGCATATGGGAAAGATTAAAAGCTCAAGATATAGAAGTGCCGCAGCTTGTATTTGTTCCCTATGGAGGGAGAATGAGTCGGATTTCAGACTCGGAAACTCCTTTTTCGCATAGAGCTAGAAATCTGTACAAAATCGGGTATATTGTTGGGTGGAAAGAACAAAGCGTAAGTGCTGAAGAAAGACACTTGAGTTGGATACGAGAGATTTACGATTACATGACTCCTTTCGTTTCAAAATCACCGAGGGCTACATATGTCAATTACAGAGACCTTGACATTGGAACAAATAACAAGTACGGAAAAACGAGCTACAAGCAAGCCAGCGTTTGGGGATCAAAGTATTTTGGGAATAATTTTAACAGATTGGTGCACATTAAATCTAAGGTTGATCCGTCTAATTTTTTCAAAAACGAGCAAAGTATACCTCCTCTATGACTTGGACGAGAAACAAATAATTCCGTAGTTTGTTATGCAAAATGTGCGATGCCCCATATGTTGATTAGTGGGGTTGCATAAACATCTGATTTCTCGTTGAGAATTATACTTTATTGATCTGCATTATAAAATTATGTCTAAAGTTTTAGTATTAAATAACATCAATGTCACGTGTGTTGAATGTTTCAAATTGAGTATTATAGAGACCAATAGACCGATCTTTAAGAGAACGGTAAGAAAAGTGATAGAACTTTAGGTCGATATGTTCAAGTTTTAAGTTTACATACATATAGTCTCTTGGAGATGACGTAGTGGCAAGAATCTCAAGTCTTATGAGATATTGGATTCAAGTCTTGCACTAATCACAGTGTTGTTCAACCCTGACAACAAAAATCCTGGTTATAATGGTATCTTACCACACGCCATCCATCGTAGAAAATTAAAAAAAAAAAAAACAAGTTTACATACTTATAAAAAAATATGCAAATTTTGGAGGATTATTGATATGTATATTATTACATTTGAGAGAAGTTATATATTTTTGGGAGACACTAAGAACTTATATCCACTACAAAGATGTTGGATGCTTCGAGGATTTGTTGAAGATTTTTGGAGAAATTTTTTAATTCCTACCTTTTATTTATTTTTGGTCATTTTAATTTCACAAAATTGAAATTGAAATTTAAATAAAGTGATAACACCCAAGGATCACCTTCATGTACTTTCATAGAAGTAAAAATTCAGCCCTTAATTTCAGTTCTTAATGCAAACAATTTCATTAAGGGTAATGAAGTTTCCTACGTATGTGTATATAGAGGGATAAATCCCCCAATAACCAAATGCATAATTTAATTACATACTAAAAATTTACGGATCTTTCCCTCCACACCAATCACGAGTTTTTTTCCATTCCTCTCGTATATCGTCTATACCCAAATAAAAATTTATGTTTTCATACGGAAGTCATTGGAGTCAAGCATTCTACCAGACATCCGACTTAGGAGCCCGAAAAATAACTTTTCACACATAAAAACTAAATCGTTACGAATGTTAAATTGCATGGACTTAAATTGTTATATACCAAAGTTGCAAGTATTAAATATTGTTATAGATATGAAAGTTGGTGAGTTAAATGAGGGTGACCTCGGTTCTTTCCCAGAAACAACACCAAAAGATTGTATTCATTTTGATTTGAATACAACTACTGTTATTATTAACGAAAAAATAAATTCAAACAACCCTTAAAAATTTTAAATATAGCAGTAAATCGAAAATTTTATACAAATATTATAATTTGATTTTAATTCAAATAAATAAATAAATAAAAACTAGGGAATTGATTTCATTTGAACTAGTTATCAAAATATAAAAAAATAAATAAAAATCTTTTTTACTTTTTTTTATTCAAAGTAATTCCTTATTTTTAAATTTTTTACTTCTATGAAAAAAGATATTTATTTTTATTTTATTACTTCAATAGAAATGATTTTTAATTTACTTTTTCTTAAAAAGAAAACAAATTCATTAACATAAAATAAATTTTACGTGTCTAGATGTTAATCAACCTATCATTGTCACAAATTTTTTGGTAACGAAATTCTGTTCAATTTTGTAGTTTTTTTAAATGTTATTGCATAGGTTACATTGACAAAGACTTTGTAAATATCTTGATCACAGTTTTAATAAATAAACTTTGAATCCAAAGCTTTTTGTATTTTTGTATTTGGATTGTAAGAAAGGATTAGCCTTAGAAACTTTATTTTATGTAAATTAATTTTGTTTGATTGGTAGACTTAAAATTTAAGGAAAAGGTAAATATAAATATTGCATAATTTAAATAAAATATTACCAAAATAGTAACTAAAGAAATTAATTGCCAACAAAAATTATAACACAGACAATTTATTACCGATAATGAATAGAGGTTGTTTTTTTAGTACAACACGAGAGATGTTGGGTAGATATTCAATAATCTCACAACTTTTTAGTTTGGAAATATGCTCTAACTTGTCAATAATCTCAAGATTATGATAAACAAATTAAATTTGCCTGCGAAATATATATAAATTCAGCTTTTTCTTCAAGCATCACAATCAGAACTTATAAATATTTATTTCATATCTTCGACACCTGCAATTGCATTTTTTTTCTTTTAGTATTCAACTTTTTTTTATCTAACATATTTACGTCTAATAAAATTATTTCTCATTCTAAAATTTTTCTCCCCATAAATATCATTTTAAAAGAACTTAGAATTTCCCTTATTTTACTGGCATGGAGTCAAATTTAAACTAGTGTTTAAACTTTATCAATTTGAAATCCAAACTTAATTAAATTATGAAATAAATTTATTTTTGTCTCTTTTAATATTTATGGGTAGTGGTAGTTTTTTGGTTTTTTTCTTTTGGTTGTTTTACATGAATATACATCTTTACAGGAATCCGTGTACTTTATAAAATATTCCTAAACATTATTAGGTAATTAAAAATCATTTGTTTATTCAAAGTAATAATTTTAGTGTTTGAATTTTATTTTATAATGATTTTTTCTTGTAATTAGAATTTGTATAACAATTTAAGTCCCAAAACCTTAATATATTTTGTATGGTTTCTATTATAAAAAATCTTATCGAGGTGTAATATTGGTTTGATGTTGAAAAGTACACGGATTCCACTCATCCATAATTTCTTCCCTACACATATATGACACCTTTATTATTAACTTTTTTTATATGTGTGATATAATTAAGAATCTATTAGTACTCGTTAATTCATGTTAAACCTTTATGAAATTTTTTATAATGCAAAGTAAATCATTACAACTTTTAAACAACAACCATTATTATATAATAACGTACTAAAGTTTAAGACCTAAATTGTTACAAATTTTCAATAAAAATTTAAAATTATACTACATGATTAAAGGACTAGATGCATTTTTTTAACCTAAATTATATTAATTCTAATTGGTCTTTGAGACACTAAAACAACATAAGATAAAGTTGATCTTCTACCTTTTGAGGGTGAAGAAATAAATTTCTTCTTTTTTTGGTAAAACGTGTGGAGTAGAAAATCGAAATCACAACTTCTTGACTGAAGATATATGTTAATTACCGCTGGAAAAAAATAAATATATAATTTGGTCAAATGTGATTAAATATCTAAGGCAATAATGCAACTTAAATAAACTTCTCTTTTAGTCAAAGGTGATTAAGCCCAAGCAAACCACCATAAATGGTGGAGCTTTCAAGTGCACACATCAAATCTCCAAAACCAGCCAACACGGAATACTCTTCTCCATTGATCCCTCTTTCTCTCTCTCTTGCCCTTTTTCTTCTCTATTCAGCTTCTGCTGAAAAACATGAATCCTTTCTTTATTGTCTCCTCCGTCATTCTCCCGAGAGTAATTACTCTATTTCTAAAGTTATATACACTCCGTTCAATTCCTCTTATTCTTCTGTTTTGGACTTCTCCATTCGAAACCTCAGATTCTCAACGGCTGAGACTCCAAAGCCACTCCTCATCCTAACACCATCACACGTTTCCCACATTCAAGCAGCCGTCATTTGCTCCAAAACTCATGGCATTCAAATCCGAACTCGAAGCGGCGGCCATGACTTCGAGGGTCTTTCCTATGTCGCCCACCTCCCATTCATAATCGTTGACCTAATAAATCTCAAGTCTGTCACCATTAACGTTGAAAACGGTACTGCATGGGTTCAGTCTGGAGCAACTCTTGGCGAACTCTATGATAGAATTGCAGAGAAAAGTCAAACTCTCGCATTTCCAGCGGGTGTTTGTCCCACAGTCGGAGTTGGTGGACACTTCAGTGGCGGTGGATATGGTTTGATGTTGAGGAAGTATGGTCTTGCAGCTGATAATGTGATCGACGCTTACTTGATTGATGCTAATGGGAAGTTTCACGATAGAGAGTTGATGGGAGAGGATTTGTTTTGGGTCATTAGAGGGGGCGGCGGAGGGAGCTTCGGAATCGTTGTGGCGTGGAAGGTGAAGCTAGTTCCAGTTCCAACGACCGTCACGATTTGCTCAACAATCAGAAATTTGGATGAAGATGTAATCAAGTTAATCCATCGGTGGCAATATGTGGCTAGCAAAATGGATGAAAATTTATTCCTTGGCATCATTTTAACTGGTACGTGTCTAAAGATCTCACGTTGAAAAGTGAAAACACCTAACAAGGTTTATAATATACCAAAACAGAAAAATACAACCCATGAAGATGTAATCAAGTTAATCCTTTCTTTATGCTTGTTTTGTTATTTATTTGTTTGTTTATTCCTCTTGTTTAGAGAAAAGTGTGTTTTCTTCAATTAATATGAAAATGGAAAAGAAAGCTAAAGCAGTTTTTTCTTGCATCACAAAATATAAGGAAGGAAAATTAATGAAAGAAAAAAAATGGATTGGTTTTTTACCCACGGAAAAGAAAGCTAAAGCAGTAATTGACATATATCTCGAGGTTGTGAGTTCGATCCCCATCCCAGATGATGTACTAAAAAAATGTACTTTTTTTCCTAAAAAAATCTCATCCCAAAATCTCATATTAAATATGAATGGTTTGAACTCAATTCTTGATGATAGGTGGGAATTCTTCAACCAAGGGGGAGGGAAACCAAACCCAACAGCTACATTCTCCTCTTTGTTTCTTGGAAAGAAATATGAGCTTATGGCAATCTTGAAGACAAATTTTCCTGAATTGGGTTTGGCAAAAGAAGACTGTATAGAAACGAGCTGGATTGAATCAACCTTCATGGCTGCTGGGAATCAAACTGTCAAGACTTTGGAAGCTCTCACCAAAGAAAGCACAAAAATCAAATCTGACTACGTCAAAGAACGTATTCCTATCGCCGCAATTGAGGGCATACGGGAAAGATTAAAAGCTCAAGATATAGAACTGCCACAACTTTTATTTGATACCTATGGAGGGAGAATGAGTCAGATTTCTGACTCGAAAACTCCTTTTCCACACAGAGCTGGAAATTTGTACAAGATCGGATATGTCGTTGGATGGAAAGAACAGAGTGTAAATGCAGAGGAAAGACACCTGAGTTGGATACGGGAGCTTTATGATTACATGACTCCTTTTGTTTCAAAATCTCCGAGGGCTG